AAGCAACAACAGAAAACACAATCGGGGTCTACTTCAAATTTAGGTGGAAAACAAGAAGATTATTTGGGGGCTGACGATGAACCAGATTGGATGAGGAACTTTGTCATTAACAAAGACGCAAAATCGCCCGAGAAGAAGACAAAGGAAAAAAGGCAATTGGGATTCAACAAAAAAATTGATAGGAAGGGAAAAAGGGAAATTGTTAGAGATTTAATTACTAACGAGGGTGGGAAGGAGGAAGATATTGAGATTGAAAAGGTAAACAATTTAATGGCAAAACATGAGGTTGAGGGAATGGATGAAGAGGAGTTTTTGGTTGAAGAGTATGAGAGTGAAGATGAAAATGGAGGACAATCTAAAAGGAAGGGTGGTGGGGTTTCGGTTAATTCCTCGAGTGAGGAAGAAAAGAACGAAGATAGCATGGAAGATGAGGAGGAAGAGGCTAGACCCAAGATTTACTTTTGCAGCCGAACACATTCACAACTTTCACAATTTGTAAAGGAGTTAAGGAAGAGTAAATTTGCTGGTGAAGTGAAGGTTGTATGCTTAGGGTCTAGGAAGAATTTCTGCATTAATCAAGGTACCCAAGATAGTTTGCCTTTCGAGCTTGTTGTTCATTTGCAAGTAAGAAGTTGCAATCTTGTGAAAAAAAATTCATGGATCTGTTGTTTTCATTTCAGAGGTGTTGAAGCTAGGCAACCCCACTCAGATAAATGAGAGATGTTTGGAGCTTCAGAAAAATAGGAAGAAAGAAAATTCTAAAATATCTAAAACCAAGGTACTAGCTGGACTCTCAACCTGTTTCTATTGACACATGTGAGTGTCCTTGTTAACACATAGATGTCTTACCTACAAAGTGTATAATTGTGTTGATAGGAAGCTGTTCTATATTAGGTAAGCTGTCTTATGTCATCTATGGCATAAGCTGATTTAAATATCCATTCTGGTAGTACTACAACATACTTTTCCCAGTTTAAATAGGTTATAACACAAAGTTAGAAACCTTTTAAAATATTTGTGATTATGCAACAGTTGGACGTTCGCTGACGATTACAATGCCAATGCTTCTCAGAAACATGTTCCAATTGAATCAGTGTTACAATAACTTTGACACATTATACGATTACTTGACTTGTTACCTAATGAAGTCATGGACTGTGTATTTGCTTAGATTCAGCTTATGATAAATACTATTATGCTCAAAATTAGAACTTCTTAGCTTCATTTGCAAAGCTTATATACAGAACATCGGAGCTGTTGGCAGAGCGAGGAGGTCCAAGACTTCCTCAGGGTGCCCAATGCTTAAAAATCACAAAAGAGGAAAAGAATTCCGAAGTGAGGTTTCTCAACAAGGGCCAGTGGATATTGAGGATCTTGTTCAGATTGGACGTGACTTGAAAACTTGCCCTTACTATGGTTCAAGAAGCCTGGTACACACAGCGGATCTTGTGGTTCTTCCTTATCAATCTCTTCTTTCAAAATCATCACGTGAATCACTTGGTTTAAGTCTAAAAGATAGTGTTGTTATCATAGATGAAGCTCATAATTTAGCTGATTCTCTCGTCAGCATGTACGACTCAAAAATTACATTGTCACAGGTAAGAAACATTTTTAATCATTGCCATCAGACACTCTGAACCATCCCATCTGGCACTACCTAACACTTTAATATTCTTTTCTTTGTGTTTTACATCCAAGTATCTCACTTGAAGAAGCATCCAATTAATTGATCTGCTGTTTTCCAGTTGGAACTTGTGCATTCTCACTTGGAGAGTTACTTCATACGGTTTCGCAATCTGTTAGGGCCAGGCAACCGCAGGTATATTCAAATAATCATGGTCCTTACTCGGGCTTTCCTACAAGCTTTGGGTAGTGAGAATTGTCAAAGCAGCTTTGACCCCGTTTATAATGCTGAGGGAAGTAAAAGTGGCTTTGATTCATCCATGTCCATAAACGAGTTCCTATTTGCCCACAATATTGACAACATAAACCTGTTTAAGCTCTTGCGGTATATAGAAGAAAGCAATATAATTCACAAGGTAGACCATTTTTTAATCTTTACTCGTTTTTCATCTATCTATCTCTATCCCTCTTTAATACCATTTAGTTTTGAAGATCTTTGGGCTCTCAGGTATGTGGATATGGACATAAATTAGCTCTCTCAGAAGAAGTTTCAGCATTGAAAAATGACGACAAAGTCAGTCATGATGAAAGTGCATTATCTGGTTTCCGAGCATTAGTTAACATATTACTGTCACTAACAAATAGAGATGGTGATGGAAGAATAATAATATCAAGGACAAGGCCAAAATGCCCCAAGCAACAAGGAGGGTACTTGAAATATGTCATGCTCACAGGAGAAAGGATATTTTCTGAGGTTTGCTAGAAACTTCATATTTTTGCATCCCTAAATCTCTTCAAAAAGGTGTTTATGGAAAACAATTTGATTCTGCACTACTACTTGCAGGTCCTCAATGAAGCTCATGCTGTCATATTGGCTGGTGGGACTTTGCAACCCATAGAGGAAACAAAAGAACGCCTGTTTCCTTGGTTACCGCTGGATCAGTTGCATTTATTTTCATGTGGTCATATCATCCCACCTGAAAATATTCTACCAATTGTCGTTTCTCAAGGGCCTTCTCGCCACTCCTTTGATTTTAGTTACAGTGCCAGAAGCTCATCAATCATGGTATACATAATCTTCCATCACATATGCTTGTTTTAAGTTAAGAATTCTGCAACTGAATTCTCCTATTGCCTATGAATGCGCTACATTACCCCAGAAAATGTCAGATTCCCTGTTTCACTTTAATTTTGCAGTTTAAACAGCATTTTTTGCTTTGGGATTAGAATATTACCCTGAAATTAACTACTCTATCTTACATACTCATGAACTCATGTTATTTCAGATACAAGAATTAGGGCTTTTGGTCTCCAATTTGGTAAATGTAGTTCCTGAAGGCATGGTTATTTTCTTCTCATCATTTGACTACGAAGGCCAGGTCTATGATGCATGGAAGGAGTTGGGCATCATTGGAAGAATTATGAAAAGGAAGCGTATATTTAGAGAACCTAGAAAAAGTACAGATGTGGAAATTGTTTTAAAGGAATACAAGGAAACAATTGAAGCACTGTCTCATAGCAGTTCTAAGCAGGACCCTGGATCACGCAACGGTGCAATTCTCCTCGCTATTGTGGGTGGGAAAGTATCAGAAGGTATCAACTTCAGCAATGGGATGGGTCGATGCATAGTCATGGTTGGATTGCCCTATCCTAGTCCAGCTGACATCGAGTTGATGGAGAGAATTAAGCATATTGAAGGATTTGATACTTCTAGTGGTAAGAACACCAAATTTCAGTCTCCAAGGAGCTGGTATAGCGGAGATGCTCAAGCTGGGCTTGACATCCTAAAAAGCTGCAAGCATAGAGGGAAGCAGTATTATGAGAATCTTTGCATGAAAGCTGTTAATCAATCAATTGGTGAGTGCTATGTCCAGCTTGTCATTGGATTAACATTTATGCAACCAAAAATAAAAACGCTCTTTCTTTGTTTCAACTATTTCCCCCCTCGTTACTCTGCTCTCGCAGATTTTCCTTTACTCTAGAGCCCCTCCAAATAGCTGCAATATTGATGATATCTTGATCCTTAAGTATAATTTAATATCTGATATCATGTACTGAATTACCACTTTTAATGGTCCTTTAGCATTATTCATATTCTTTTTTGGGGATCTTGATATTCCAGTGCTGTTTTAATCGTCTGCTGTAGGTAGAGCAATTCGGCATATTAATGACTATGCTGCTATCCTGTTAGTTGATACACGCTATACATTTGATTCTTCTGAAAGAAGCTCCTCCCACTCAACCAACAAGCTCCCACTGTGGATTAAAAGCCGTCTTGTTTCTGCAACGAAGAATTACGGAGAACTCCACAAACTGCTGCATCAATTCTTCAAGTTCCACAAAGGCAAAGAGGACATAGAGTAAGAAGTCGTGGCCAAATTTGACCTCATGAAGTAATGTATTGAGGCACAAGTTGTTTTTTTTACTAAGTTATCAGTTTATACAGGGATAGTCCTTTTTGTATCAACTAAATTGATGCAATAATTTTTGGATGTACAGCAATGATAAAGTAAAGATATTGATTTAATCTGCCAAGTCATTTTCATTTTATCTCATGATTGTTGTATATGTATTACCAAAAAAAACCCAGCTCTAAAGGCACTTGACACAATTGATACAAACAGTAATTCTTACTCGATTAAAGGGAAATTCTGGCCTTGCTTCATCTATTACTTGGGGTCCCAGTGGTCTAAAACTGCATGAGTGTAATTTAGGTACTGCTTAATTATATGTACTAATCACTTTAAGCATCTGCCAACTCACCGCTCAACTTTCCCTTTTTCTTCATAATGAATGCTGCGACACTTTAAACAGCATGACAGTCAAAAGAGTGATCAAGGAAATAGAAAAGGTATACTATTAGGAAGAGGCCCTAGGAGATCATGGTTTGAATTCCAGCCCGTGCACTAAGCTCCTACTATGAGCGGGTCCGAGAAAGGGCCGGACCGCAGGATCTATTGTACGCAGTCTTACCCTGCATTTCTGCAAGGGATTGAATTCCAGCAAAGACAAAAAAATGCTAGGTGATTTTTTCTAATCTGCTTAAATCTTGGTGCGCAAAATTACTGGATATCTCTCCTGGAGAGGTATTAGGTACCTGAATAGATCAGTCGAAGTACATCCAAGCTGGCCTCAACACCACCGTTATAGAAAAGAAAGATATATTGGGAAGCAATAACTAAATCAAGGAAGTCAAGCTTAGAAAAAGATGTATTGGGAAGCACAACTAAAGCAAGGAAGTCAAGAAGAAAAAGAGCAGAATGTCCCTCTGAATTTCATTGCATTTTGGCTTTTTGTCTTCAGTTATGATAAGAAACTCGAGCCCACCTGTCCCCATCTCTTTAATTAGTACATGTTAAAAACCATTTAGGCATCTAAAATTTGAGGAATACAAGTTGCATTATCTCTTGCTAAGAAGATAGTGAAAGCCACATGGGGGAGTTGTACAGAAAGACAGTAAATCCACAAATACTACTTAAGAAATCCTTCAAGAAGACAAAGAACCTCCTCCTCAAAACTCTACATAATCTCAAGTCATTTCTCTTTAAAGGTCACCATAAGTTACCTAAAGTTTGTCACTTTAATCCCTTCTTCTCTGGCAGCAATCGAATTCCAAATAGCATAATTCAAGAGTTGGATGATTTCTACAGAGACTTTCCTCAACAATGGGAACATTGTGACCTTAATGAGGTTCCAGAGAGAAATAATATTTGTGAAGAATCAGTAGAGAACACTATGGAAAATCAAGAAAGAATGAGAAAAGAGGAGAAGGAAAGAGCAACATTTAATGAAGAAAATATAGGAGAGGCTTTTCTTCAAAGCACAAGTAAAGGTCAGATTTTAGCACAGAAGATGAAGGAATTAGATTTGTTGGATGAGGAAGATTTGGAACAAATGCTGGACATAGAAGAAGTGCTACACTATTACTCTCACCTAAACTGTCCATTTTACCTTGACATTGTTGACAAGTTTTTCATGGACATGTATACTGAGTTCTCACTTCCACAGCCATTCATCAATATCAACGGTTCAATGCGAAGTCTTGGTCCTACTGAGCTCTAGAAACTACTGGATTTTTCGTTGACTCTCTGTGTCTTTGTATGCCAGTGCAATTTTCCAAGCTAGCCAACTTCTTCATTGTCTGTTCAATTCAAATGGATTCCTATATTGAGTAATTTCAGAAAATCCTTGGATCTCTATTTCTTGATCAAGTTTCTTTAAGAAGTGAGTTATGTGACAGTAGTACATTCATTATTTATATTTTGGATGGCATTTGCTCTATTAAGTGTAATGTAGCAGAGTGATTATTGATCTGCACTATATGCCGCGAAGAGAAATATGAACACATTCTGTCCTTGAAGCTGTTCTACCTCATTTATCTGCCATAAAAGAATACCTCTCATTTTCCCCAGTTTCCATTCTACCATTCTAATAAAGGGCAACCCGATGCACTAAGCTCTTGCTAGGGGAGGGGGATCCGGGGAAGGGCCGGACTACAAGGGTCTATCGTACGCAGCCTTAACCTGCACTTCTGTAAGAGACTGTTTCCACGGCTCGAACCCGTGACCTCCTGATCATATGAACTTTACTAGTTACGCCAAGGCTCCCCTTCCATCCTACCATTCTAATGCATGACATTATTGTTTTGCTATAGATAAAAACCACCTGTTGTGACTTTAAATGAAGAAACATGGTCAATGAAGATTCATATTGCCGACCCCAACTTGTTTGAGACTGAAGCATAATTGTTGTTTACCGAAAAAGTAAACCAAGAAGGTGGATATTAAACATATGATATGGCAAAAGAAAAAAAGAACATTGAGGACATTGAAGCCTCATTACATCCAAGTTGGTTCTATAATAAATCTTCTTTATCATGATGTTCACTATCATTCTCTAAATTGATCAACATGCATTCCTTATTAACTTTCTGAGAAAGCCAAGCTATAAACCATTTGGGACTGAGGCTTTGTCATGGGTAAAGAAAGTAGAAATAGCTAGTCAGATTCAATGTTTACCTTTTCTAGCCGATATCCATGGATTATACATTGATTATACACAGTTATACATATATTATATGTCCGCTGACTATTTTCAGTTTAAGAGATTAGGTGAGCTGCTATTTGGGTTAATTCTTCAAGTAGGGGAAACCATAAGTAACCAAATCCAATTTCAATTTCCATTTAGGCTATAAACCATATAATTGCTACAATGAATAGAATGGCACAAGTAGACACATTGGCAAAGGTGCCAAGAATCATGCTTTATGTTTGTTTCTTTGTAACAAACTGTCAACTGAAGATCTGCTTCTGCTTTGACTGGATTAGATCCAAAGTCCCTCTTATAGAAACTGAAGCATGCTTAAAATTTTCATCTTGCTTTCGTCGCACATCCAGTAGCTCTTTCTTTAACGTTGTCTTTTCGAGCAAGATGCACTTTTGACCTGTTTTTATCTAGTATTAAGTACCAGATCGAATAAACTAATGACGCGACACACCTCAATGACTACTTCTGTATCAGAATGTATTTTCAGTTTCAATGTTGGCGTGATTATTGTTGTTGTTGTTGTTGCTGAAAAAGAACCTCAAGGCAGTTTCATAGGCAGTGAATATAGCTCCATTCACTACAAATGCTCTGGCAACAGCAGTTCCCAATCCTCGCCATAGCACACTGTATCCCTCTTGTTTCACACTTCGCCTAAAGCAATCAACAATGCCAGAATATCTCGAGGGTGTAGATTGTGACTGAGCTTGCAATCTGGTTTTAATAACATCAACAGGATAACAACTTATCCAACTCGCAACTCCTGCTAGACCACCTGCTATAAGCATTGTTCTAAAACTCTCTTGGCCATTCTTACGACATCCTGGATGAAGCTGCTCTCTCACATACTCGTAGGTCCAAAAGTATAAGCCATGAGCTGGTGCGTCTCTGAGTACTGTAATTGTTAATCCGCGATAAATTCCTTTCCAACCTTCTTGTTTGAATATGCTTCTTGCAACATCTGTTGGACCCCTATAACTAGTTATTTGATTATTGTTGTCAGGGATACTTCTCCTTTGCAACTGAAGTCGAATTTTCACAAGTTCGACAGGAGTGAGCATTAGGCTTTGTATTGCTCCTGTGCCGAATCCACCTAAGGCTACTCCTTTGTAGGAGGGCGGGTCACTGGCTGGAACGTTCCTGTCAAATGCTCGCGATAGCACTGCATAAATCTGAAATACCATGGCATTCTGCAATAGCAAGGAAACTAATTTACATAATTGTAGAAATCAAGATGTCACTTCTATTCATGAAATATTTAGACAAGAATAAGGGGAGCCTTGGTGTAAATTGTAAAGTTGCTGCCATATGACCGGGAGGTCACGGCCACAGCCTCTTGCAGAAATGTAGGGTAAGGCTGCTTAGACCCTTGTGGTCCGGCACTTTCCCGGACCTGGCACATAGTGGGAGCTTAGTGCACTGGATGTCCTGATTAAGAGTAACTTAGGAAGATCAATTTTAAACAATAATCACTCTATGTTCTCTAGATAATGGACTCACTAAGAAGTGAATAATAAAATGGTAGCCCGCCTTCACTGACTAGAGAGTAGATGATGAAGGAAAGATGCTATTAATAAATGAGTCAACAACCGTATATTTTAGAATTCTAAAATTCAATGCTTATCCTGTTGATCGTATAGTAACAGGGGAAGAGGGAACTCCAACAACAACAACAATCCAGTATAATCCCACGAGTGGGGACTGGGGAGGGTAGTGTGCACACATACCTTACCCCTACCCTAGGGTAGAGAGGCTGTTTCCGATAGACCCTCGGCATCCCTCCCTCCAAGAATTCCCCGCCTTATTCTTGGGGTGACTCGAACTAACAACCTCTTAGTTGGAAGCGGAGGGTGTTCACCCCTAGAGCAACCCACCCTTGTCGGAAGAGGGAACTCCAGGTCTCTAAATTCTGAGATTTGATTTGTGACCATTAGTTGTCACCAAATTTGACATGTGAACTCAAGGAAAAGCTAACGTGCCAATAACTGTCTGTGTTACTATTATTGTTTTGTTTAGCAAGTTTAATTTAGTATTAGTTCCGTGACACACAAAAACTCCATTCAAGGGCCCTAGAGTCTTTGTTTCTTTGTTTGGTAGGTAAAAAAAATAGAGTAGTTGTTATTGGATCTATTCATTATCACCACGTAATATCCGTGTCAATCCTTAACGATGTACGTATTACTTTTAGTGATAGTGACAGAAGTTTTACCAAGAAAATGCTCTGACTTCGTACCTTGGGCGAGAAAGGGCAGAGCTAGATTTTGAGTTACGGGTCAGGCGAAATCAGTAATTTTGATCCAAACTTTGTATTTATCTTAAACAATGAGTATAAATCATATGAAAGTAGTTTCTCCTTTGGTCTTTGTAATCTATTAATGCTACAGACTACAATCTGACCTGCTTAAATAATCTCCCCTTTTTGTTGCTGACAAGCAAAAGGTGATGTAAATTTCGATAGTGGCATGAAATAAATAGCAGCTTATAAAACTAGTCGTGGGTTTCAATTTATATTTGATTGAGCAAAAAGTTGTAGCGAGAAAGAAAGATTTTTGAAATTTGATGCTTCATAAAATATGGACATTTGTGTCACTGTGTATTATTTTATTACAATAAAAATAAAAAATTTAAAATTGAATTATATTTAAATATTAAAAGATGATACACCCTCCATCATAATTTATGTGGTATTCTTTCTTTTTTTAAACCGTCCAAAAAAAAAAACAATAACACATTTCCCTATTAAGAAATAAATTATCTTTAGAATTTATATTTTACCTTTAGCGAATTGATTACAGGTATACAAATAATAATGGTTTATTTAAACCATAAATTTTTAAATTTCATTTTTTTTAAAACTTTGTACAGAATTAAATACCGCTACAGTGGCTTTGGTGAACAATGGTAGGGTAAGGTCTTGTCCTCGGGAGTATTAGCGCGGGGGAGGGGTCGGGGGTAATAGGGCTAAGGGAGCTACTAGGCTGAGAGTGGGGTCTTGGATTATAGGAAATTTAACTAGAAAATCTGTAGAGTTAGCAAAGATTCTCAAGAAAAGAAAGATTAATATAGCTTGTGTATAAGAAAATAGGTAGGTAGGAGATAAAACGCGGGATGTAGTCAGTTTCAAACTTTGGTATTCTGGGAGGGTGGGAGCAGGAACGGGGCAGATATCTTGGTTGATAAGGACCTCTGTGAATTAGTGATGGAGGTTAGGAGGATGAATGTCGACTGATGACTATTAAGCTAGTTGTTGGAGGCTTTACTTTGAACATAATTGTGAGCACGTAATTTTGGCTTTACGAAAAACTACTCCAAAATAAATCAAAAAATAAAATAAATTTCTTTTACTGTGTAAT